CCGGGCGTGGTGGCCGGCCACCGATCCCCGTCGCTTGAGCCGTGCCGGCCTTCATGGGTGCTGCTCGCTAACAGCACTTGCCCCTGCAGTCTATTAAGGCTCTACGGGGGATCTTTGTCTTTGGCACGGGGGGGGCGGTATTAAGGGAGCGCGCTGCTCTCTTGACCCAATGACCCGAGTGTGACTCCGAGGTCACTGTGAGGCAAGGGCTCTTGCGAGGTCACGTCAGCTTCCAGCGAGTACTTTGCGCTCTGTAACCACCGGCAGGCGGGGACACAAAGGCTGCTGGGTAGTGTTAGGCCTAACCCCCCTCCCCTCCCCGTCTTGTATCGTGCGGCCTTAATAGGTGCTCGCTAACAACAAGACTACCTCACTCGGGACGCCTGTGTTCGTGTTGAACAAATACAATAATCACAACCCTTTGTCTATCCACTGGTGGATGATGGTTTCCACCTCCCTCCACCCCTCCCCGCGTGTTGCACCCATGGGTGGTCGATTGGCCATACTTCCACACCGCTGATCACCAGGGCGTGTTTGTCTAACGTGTAGACATGCAGTGTGGGTATACACACATATATGTGTGTTGGGTGCGTGCATGTGAACAGCATTTATATTCTACAAGTTAACATTTTTGATCTATTAAAAAAAGTGTTTATAATGCTTCTTGTATCTTCAGTTTATCTTTTGTTTGATACGCGCGGATTTTTTTATTTTTTTTATTTTTCCATGCAATCAATCGGCGACGTTTTAATGAGCTAACAACAACCACACACACAAAACTAATACCCAGGCGAACACATTTCATAAATAATACCGGGTGGTGAGCGGCGGGGCGAGATGGGGGTAGGTGAGAAATCATGAAAGTTTTATTGTTAATGCTGAAATGACAGCAGCGATGCAACAAGGACAACTCGTCGAAGGTAACGTCCCCACAACGCTCATCGCCACTCGTCTCGATGCGCGTGCACTGCGCCACTCCATATCCACGCAATATACACAACTCCGCCTGCCGCGTCTTACAGCGATTTCATAACAGCGCAGGGTCGTATTTACATCATCAACAACAAATAAAACACAACGGACACGCGTTGGCGTAAACATTTCCCTAACATAACAAAACGAATTCTCGTCGTGCACCCGTCGTACATTTATTACATAAAATCCAATACGTTTCATTTTATTTTACTTTAGCGTGTATATATATCCTAACCTATCAACGAGTGCACAATGGGCGCGATAGAATCTACAGGCAGGGACAATGCATGTACGAATTGGTTGAATAAGTGAAAGGAAATATGAAAGAATAAGAATAGGTTTTACCATTTCTGGCAAAAAACAGCAGGTGGTAAAATGCTCCAACACCAAATAGAAACGTCTCTGCAAGGAATACTCTCTGCATTAACCAGAGGTACTTGTGGTGAACATGCAGACAAACATGCTCTGATAATATAAGCATCGTCCTTGAAAGTGATTGGCCTACACCAGAGACGGCGGCCTTCTTTAGGGCCCTGTCTCACCACGAGTGTCACACCAGAGACAGCGGCCTTCTTTAGGGCCCTGTCTAGCCACGAGTGTCACACCAGAGACAGCGGCCTTCTTTAGAGCCCTGTCTCGCCACGAGTGTCACGCCAGAGACAGCGGCCTTCTTTAGTGCCCTATCTCACAACGAGTGTCACGCCAGAGACAGCGGCCTTCTTTAGAGCCCTGTCTCGCCACGAGTGTCACGCCAGAGACAGCGGCCTTCTTTAGGGCCCTGTCTCGCCACGAGTGTCACGCCAGAGACAGCGGCCTTCTTTAGAGCCCTGTCTCGCCACGAGTGTCACGCCAGAGACAGCGGCCTTCTTTAGTGCCCTATCTCACAACGAGTGTCACGCCAGAGACAGCGGCCTTCTTTAGAGCCCTGTCTCGCCACGAGTGTCACGTCAGAGACAGCGGCCTTCTTTAGGGCCCTGTCTCGCCACGAGTGTCACGCCAGAGACAGCGGCCTTCTTTAGGGCCCTGTCTCAACACGAGTGTCACGCCAGAGACAGCGGCCTTCTTTAGAGCCCTGTCTCACCACGAGTGTCACGCCAGAGACGGCGGCCTTCTTTAGGGCCCTGTCTCGCCACAAGTGTCACGCCAGAGACAGCGGCCTTCTTTACGGCCCTGTCTCACCACAAGTGTCACGCCGGAGAACAGCGCCAAGAGGCAGACGGCACAAAGGCAATGCCACCATCAGCGCGTTTATCGCTTGGGGTGAGCAGCTAAAAAACATGGGACCGTTTTTGCCAGTATCAAAAAAATGATAAAATACGAATAGGTTTTACCCTTTCTGGCAGATAAAAACCTGTTGTGTTAAGATGTGCAAACACCAAATAGAAACCGTTAAGTGAAAGGAGTTGTGAATGCGCGCGCGTGTGTATTTACGGACACTTATAATACTCGGACGTACGTGTGGTTATGTACACTTATATAGCAGTATCATTGCAACGACGATTTGTAAATATATCCCAATAAACCTTCATTTGTGGTGGTGGTAACTAAAATAAAGTAACACTGTACGCTCGTATATATAGCTCAAACACAATTGCCTTTTTTATATATATAATATATATGCGGTTCTTAAAATAACAATCATACCACTTATTTTTTACGATGTATCCGTTCGTGCGTGGCGCATTCAAAGTGAGTGTCACGTGGAATGCGCGACATCGCTCTCGACGTCATCGATAATTACAGATCAATCGTCGTTAATATATCACTTATATTTCACAGACTCTGAGACGTACACTTTTAATATCAAAAGCAGTTGTGTGTATGTATATATATATATATACGATAAATTAATACCGATTAATAAAGAAATACCCGCGAATCAATTGCCTGCTGTTGCATCTCGGGATGGGGGCTGGGAGGGGGGGTTAGGGAACGAGGGACGGGGTGCAACTCAAGACAAACATTCAAGGTATTACAACAATCTTGAGTTGAAGCTTTCGTGACTGCAGGAATGCATACTCTTTGGCTCTTTCGGTAAAGTAACGGTAGGTAGAAAAATATATTTTTGTTTAGTTTTTCTACCTACGTGACTTTACCGAAAGAACCAAAGAGTATTATCACATCTCTCTCTCTCTCTCCTAATTAAATCCGTGGCCGTTACAAGCGCCGTCATTCAGAACTCGTAACTAATTGGCGACGCGTGCGTGTGTGTGTAAGCAGTAATTAATGCGCGTGGCGTGAAGACGCAGTATCACTATCATGTGCTCGCTTCTGTAAATACACAATAAGCCCACACTGGATAATGCACGCGGTACATTTGCGTGGAATGTTTTTTAAATACATGCAACAGAGAGTTAATTAGACCGACTGAATGTGGCTGTTATATTGTTCGTCATAGAGCTTCTTACACTAACTTATAATACAACGACGAGCGCGCGTGGTGCGTGTGATTCTGCAGCGCATGCATCGTACCATTTGCTTGTTTTCCTTCCGAACTTTCATCGATTCATCCTTAATTTTTTTACATCCATTTCACGACGTGCCACGGAGTGAGTCTCGTCCCCGCGCGCGCGCGTGCTGGTGACATTGACGAGAGGGATCCCTGGAGCGCGTCTGTTGTTGAGTGCGATTCTGTGTCTTGGTGCGTGCAGGCCGATTGTCCCGTGTGTGTGTGTGCGCGCGTGTATTTGTTGTGCGTCTGTGGTTGTGACACCTCCCTCGGCGGGTTTGATCTTCACGTCTGTGTGCGTGCATCAGTCATCTGTCAGGAAGTCGACCTGGAACACATGGGGTCTGTCCCGTGACCTCCTGCACCTAGCCGGGCACATCAGTCAGTCCATAGCACTTGGGGTCTGTCCCGTGACCTCCTGCCAACAGCAGCGAGCCTTCGACACTTCACGTGGCTTCGCGGTGCACCTAGCCTGGCACAAGCGCCCGTGGTGACGTTACCGCCACTTAGTGGCGAACAGTGGCTGTTGTTATTGCACACGTGCGTATGCGCATTTGTGTACATGTCCGCCTTCGTATGTGTGTCCGTGTATATCTGTGTATTGCAATGTGATCACGTGCATACACTGTCCACGCGCGTGCACCACACGCACAGCGCGCGAGTGTGTGCACGACGTTTTGTTGTTGTTGTTATTGTTGTTGTTATTGTTGTTGTTGCACGCGCGCGTGTGTAGCCAAGTTACGCAACGCTGTCACGGGCACGACGAACCTTGGGTAACAGCTTGTGCGCTGCTTCGTGTGTGTGCGCGTGTGAGTGGCACACCTTCCCCCCCCACATGGACTCGTGCACACAGGAGGAGTCGGGAGGGGGGTCACGGCGTGTCCATGCAAATCTCGAACCGATAAACAATTAGCACCTGAAATCCACCCACACCAGCCACGAGGATCCGTATACGGTATGTATACAGAGACGCGTGTGTATATCGACATCTACAACCACACCCCCCCAACACCATGCATGCATATAAGAATATATTATATGCATGCATACATAAATATAAAATGCGTATGCTTTTACGGGTTTACGTAGGTACACGGCCATGTTCAGATCCATTCGCACCCACACACAAAAGACAAAGATGCCCCGTGTAGCCTTTAACAGACTGTTGGGGCAAGTGCTGTTAGCGAGCACCTATGAATGCCCAGACGGCACACGATGGGGTGGGGTTGTCAGACCGACGGCATTTGTGTCCCCAGAAGATTTATATTTTTTACACATCTCACACGGGCACTCATTTGAAGCCGAGTTGACCTCAGGGAAGCCCAGGGCCGGCTCAATATGACCGTCGCTGGCGTTGGTTGGCGACCGTGAGCGTGACATCGTAGTGCAGCCGCAGGTCGTCCCAACAACTCTCAATACCGCTCCCCATCACGCGCAGCTCACACATACAAAGACAAAGACCCCCTCCCCCAACCGTATAGCCTTCAACAGACTGTTGGGGCAAGAGGACAACTCTCACGCGCACGCACATGGCGCGCGCCGTGGCTCGAGCGTCGTAAGGTCTCCCCTCCGATGGTCAATCTCGCTGCTTGGCGCGCACCTTCTTGTCCTTGACCCTGCGGTTCTGGAACCAGATGGTGATCTGGCGCTCCGAGAGGCTCGTCTCGCTCGAGATGAGCCGCCGCGTCTCCTTGCTCACGAAGCGGCAGGCGGCGTAGTGCGCCTCGAGCTCCTTCAGCTGCCCCTTGGTGTACGGGACGCGCTTCTTGCGCACTCGTCGCTGCCCCCCCGGGGCGTCTCCGCATCCTCCGACTCCCGCGGCGCCTGTGACTCCTCCGCCGCATCCTCCGACTCCCGCAGCAGCCGCAGCAGCAGCAGCCGCAGCAGCAGCAGCAGCCGCCGCTGTCGGATCGAGCGTCCCCCGTGCGTAATCCCCACACACCGACACACAACGACAAAGAGCCTCCCTATAGCCTGCGCAGAGCGTTGGGAGAAAGTGCTGTTAGGCCGACACGCAAAGATAGCCTCGTCGAGCAAGTGCTGTTCGGCGACACACAAAGATAGCCTCGTCGAGCAAGTGCTGTTCGGCGACACGCAAAGATAGCCTCGTCGAGCAAGTGCTGTTCGGCGACACGCAAAGATAGCCTCGTCGAGCAAGTGCTGTTCGGCGACACACAAAGATAGCCTCGTCGAGCAAGTGCTGTTCGGCGACACGCAAAGATAGCCTCGTCGAGCAAGTGCTGTTCGGCGACACGCAAAGATAGCCTCGTCGAGCAAGTGCTGTTCGGCGACACACAAAGATAGCCTCGTCGAGCAAGTGCTGTTCGGCGACACGCAAAGATAGCCTCGTCGAGCAAGTGCTGTTCGGCGACACACAAAGATAGCCTCGTCGAGCAAGTGCTGTTCGGCGACACACAAAGATAGCCTCGTCGAGCAAGTGCTGTTCGGCGACACGCAAAGATAGCCTCGTCGAGCAAGTGCTGTTCGGCGACACGCAAAGATAGCCTCGTCGAGCAAGTGCTGTTCGGCGACACACAAAGATAAATGTCCCCCCTATAGCGTCAACGGGCTGTGGGGGCAAGTGGTGAGCCCCTATGAATGCCGGCGCGGCACATCAGGGGCATGGGAGGCCAGCAGCACCACGCCCGGCCGCCTTTGTCTCCCCCGTGGCCACGTGTACACATCCACCAGGTGCTCATTTGAGACTGAGTCGACCTAGGGGAGGGCCCAGGAGCGGCTCAAATATTTCAACTCGAGTCACCGGGTTCGGAGGGCAGCGTGCTCACTACTACACTCCCGCTCCCCTGACACACACATGAAGACAAAGATTCCCCGTATAGCCTGTAACGAACTGTTGGGCAAGTGCTGTGAGCGAGGAGCACCTATGAAGGCCGGCACGGCACGCAAGGGACTGTGCGGCCAGCACCACGCTCGACTGCATTTGTCTCCCTAGTGGCGATATTTACACACCGCACCGGGTACTTATTTGAGGATGAGTCGATCTAGGGGAGGCCCAGGACCGGTTCAGATAATCGTCACTGGTGTTGGCCGTGATCGGGAATCGAACTCGGGTCAGCGGGTTCGTAGCGTAGCGCACACACACACACGCGCACACACGCGCACACACACACACGCGCACACACACGCGCACACACACACACACACACGTGCACACACACACGAGCACACACGCACACGCGCACACACGTGCACACACACGCACACACACACACGCACACACACGCACACACACACGCACACACACGCGCGCACACACACACGCACACACGCACACACACACACACGCACACACACACACGCACACACACACACACGCACACACACACGCACACACACACACGCACACACACACGCGCACGCACACGCACACCCACGCGCGCACACACACACGCACACACACACACGCACACACACACGCACACACACACACACGCACACACACGCACACACACACGCACACACACACGCGCACACACGCAGACACACACGCACACACACGCCGTAGCGCAGTATTTTTTTTTACAAAAAGACAAATTGGTCTTCGAGTGATACAAATAGATGCGCATCAAATGACAACAAAACAACGGCGCCTCCTCCAGACGGCCGTGGCACGCGCTACAAAAGCGCGAACGACGCTGGTTTTCCACTTTGACGTCGCGGCGACGTTAGCCGCGTCCACACGAGCGATTTTGGGAGAGAGAGAGAGAGAGAAAACACGAGTGGCATCGCGTGCGCCCGTCCAACGCAACGTACGTGTCATGTATATCGTGTATTGTGACATTTAAATCACAGTTCCTATGATTACTGTTGTTACATTGTTTTTATAGCTTTATTTTGGTGATTTGAAAACATATGGTTAATCTAAATTGTTGTTGTTGGCTTGCACCACATTGTGATTTTTGCACACAGCGTTTAAATACGTTTTTTTATATTTGCTGGTTTATTCCAGGATGTTTCTGTGGCGCGTCGTCGCTTTGGGATGTTCTGTGTTCATATTTTGATTGTTGCGGTTGCACCCGACTTAAGAGCCACATGGCTCACAGGGCTATACCGAATAAATGAAACTTGAAAAACTTGAAACTGATTCGAGCCAAGACAGACAGCCCTGCTGACGAGACACTGCGCGTCAAAACCGGTCCGGAGTTTGACTGCCTTGGAATCGCTGCTGCTGCTGCTGAAAGTAGGCCCTCCCAGAAGGCCATGCCGCTGGTGGGTTGTGTAAGAAATATAAATATATATATAAACCTATTATTATATTTTGATACTGTCAAAGGAGGTCTAATGATTTTTTTTCGATTTAAAGCTTTCGTGACTGCAGGGATTCATCTTCTTGGTTCTTTTGGTAAAGTCACGTAGAAGGGAAGTAATAAAATAATAATGTTTTATTTTTATTATTTTATTACTTCCCTTCTACGTGACTTTACTGAAAGAACCAAGAAGAGGTCTAATGATGTAGATGCTCACCCCGAGCCCTCCTTACTTTGATAGTGCGTTGTCTTTGAGCTGTACGCCTTTTGGCGTCCTCTGGTCTAACACCAATTGAGACGAGGCTCAAAAGAAAGCCGTCTCAGGTATGAACCAATCAGTTTCAAGGACAATGCATATGTTATCAGAGTGTGTTTTTTGTTTGCATTTTGACCACAAGTATTGTGGTTAATGCAAACATGATTCCTTGTAAAAAGGTTTCAGTTTTGTTGCCAGAAAAAAATGGGAAAACCCCTATTATTATAAATATATATTTTCTCTTTTGGTGTGAAACGAGAAATGTGTGTTAAGGAGTATCTGTGTGTTTATTTCGTGAATTACATTCTCCGCAAGCACGCGAATGATTCATTATCATTACGAGCTATGTGATCAGATCGGGCGGGTGTGGTGTTTCGGGGTGGTGGATTCATGTTGAGATTGTTTTTTAACTCCCGAACCCTCACTGGGATGCGATTAGACATTGACAGTACAGCAAGTGGGTTACATGAACCCGTCTGTGCGGATCTTTAAGCGTTCATCCCCTCGAAGGCGCGAGTCACCAGTCGTGGACGATTTTTATTAATTTTATCCTAGCAAAGCGTTTTTTTTTTCTAAATACAAAGCAAAGAAACGATATAATATATATCTTTAAAGAATGTGGCCAAGTATCCCAGTGTAGGGCCATCCGATGCAGGAGCATTGAGACTCAATCAAGTTATCATCATCATGATTATAATATTTGAGCTATCATTACGATTGTTCTACCCCTGGTATTCTACAGAAGTTACACGCCAAATGAAACAATGAAGCTATTTTGTATTTTACTAGGTAAGGCCCACTGAGCTACATAGCTGTTTTTCAGAAGCGACCTGACCACAAATGATAGCTCAACGAAGTCGGCTTATCCCATAGACATTTATAGCAGCCAGATACTCAAAACGCGTGTTTCTAAACGTGGAGTGAAACACCGGAGAGCCCTCAGGAAAACAAATCCACGAGACCACGGGGGGAGAGAGAGAGACACGCAAACTCCAAATCGACAGCAATCAGGGTTGGGCTCGAACCCACGAACCCTGCAGATCAGGCGAGGGAGTTCACATTTCTCCACTGCGGCGCCTCATTAATTCGAACGTATAGACCATAGACCTCTGTGTGGGCCAGAGGACCGATAGTCTAACAGGGGAATTACCTCGCGATGGGAAAGAGGAACCTCGACCACACGGCTCACTGCCTCCTTAATCCGTTACGATTTGGAGAGGGAAAATGGCTTCAATTCGTATTCATTGCCACTATTGCTGCAGCAGTGGCCTATATATATATATGTATTTTTATAGTGCCACCAAGGTCATATTGTGCAAATATATATATATATATCGGTTAAACATCCTCATGCAGGACTATCTTGAAAAGAAGAAAAAAAAGTCACGAGGCTCAATGCGGCTTTGCATTCGTGGATTAAAAAAAGAATTAGATATTGATTTTGTGGATCGAACACAGTTGTCGGCAGGGCTATGATTTGCGTGCACTTCTGTGCATTTATAAATGTGGTTTCAGTGGGGGGGGGGGGGGGGGTGCGACGTCGAGGCGCTGGGGGGTAAAGTTGGGGTGGGGGGGTGGCACGAACTTGGCTCGCCCAGGTAACACGCGAGCCTCGGGCGCCACGAGGTTAGCGACTAGGCCGGACGTCACGTGGTGGAAGATGGTCGACTACGTTCACGACGTGTGCGGCAGGCGTGGCATCCAGCGGCGAGTCGACCAAGGGTCCGAGTAGGGTGACGATTGTTCTATGTCCGGGTTGCTTCTGTCCAAGACGACAGCAGGAACAATCCACCACCACAACCACCAACCTTCTCTAAAACAACAACAACCGCCATTCGCCACTAAGTGGCGGTGACGTCACCACGACGCTTGTGCCAGGCTATGTGCACATTGAGGTCACGTGAAGTGTCGAATGCCCGCTGGCAAGAGGGCACGGGGCAGACCCAGGTGCCACGGGTAGACTGCCTGAGATGACCGAAATGACTGGCTGATGCACCACCCGTGCCCCCTACTGTGCCAACTTGCTGTGCTTTAGCCACCTGGCGCTCCGCTCGTTGTTGTGAGCGTCACTCCTCCGCCCTCCGTTGTTGTTGGAGGGCGACTGCCTCCAACTGCCCAGCAGCGTCCTTCACGATCCTCCTCCACAGAGGCCGATCTTGACATCGCTGGTACCAGTCATCGGCAAGTCCACTCAGCTCCACATCCTCTTGGACCACATCACTCCATCTCTTCTCCAGCCCGTGCCGCGCCCTTTAAGCCCCCTCTATCCAGCCGAACAAAATCTGTTT